TATGTATGTGTGTGTGTGTGTGTGTGTGTGTGTGTGTGTGTGTGTGTGTGTGTGTGTGTGTGTGCGTGTGTGTGTGAGGCAGGAGGGATGGGTCAAAGGAGAGGAGCCATGCCTAATCCTGTGGGATGTGAGGGTATCTACTGTGTATGGAGATGGGATGTGGAGATGTGTTCAGTGGTGCATGGATCACAAAACCTTCCTAACTGACAAAAGAGACTCCCAGGAGACCAATGTCAAACTGATCACTGCTTAAAGAAAGAAAAAAAGGCAAACATAACAGTGCTGCATATTGCATCATAACAGTGAAATGCTACCAGACTTTGAGATCAGATCTTGCAAAGTGAGTATGAAATTATTTGTATTAATATATCATTGTTAGTAGTAACAACAGAATAGTTGTTTAAAGAAGCCTTAGTAGATTTATTATATTATATTACATTATATTATATTATATTATATTATTTCGCCCCATTCTCGGTCACATCAAGTGCCCTCCAGATTTAGAGATAAATATTTGACCCTAAAAAATAAATACAGTTATAAAAAATGTATTATTATTATTAGTAATAGTAATAGTATGAATTTGCAGGTGCTTTGTGTGCAGAAATTATGGCCCAAAATGTTACAAAATCAATAGTGTTTCTATATATTACTGTATTACTTATAGGCTTTTTTTTTTCTAAATCTGCTTTATAAGCTTGTCTTTGCTGTGTCCTCAGTGTTGGACATATTGAACCGGCAGGTGGCGATATTGGACAAGTTAATACCTCCTGTAACCCGGAAGAAGTATCTGTGGCCCTTTAACAAAGGAGCAAATGTGTCCTAGTGAGGAGTTGACAGTTAGCTACCATGGCGCTTGATGTTAAGTCCAGGGCCAAACGGTATGAGAAGCTGGATTTCCTCGGAGAGGGTCAGGTATGCAGAGAAATATATCGGTGCTTTTTGTTTTTGCTTTTGTTGCCTTCTTTGCATGCGACGCCTGTTGTGAAGAAAGCATGATAGCAAGCTAACACGCGTTAGCTGCTTGTTAATGTCAACAAAGCCCCGATGGTGCATGCTCTTGATGATGGTGAGAACAAATAGTTCTGTTTCAGTACTTTTTGTATCTGCTTTTCCTCTCCAGTTTGCCACAGTGTACAAAGCCAGGGACAAAACGACTGACACTATAGTTGCTATTAAAAAGGTACAAGAATTTTTCTTTATTTTGGGACAGCCTCTGTATCGCATGCTGATGTCTAACACCAGGCTATTTATCTGTTTTCTGCCAGATTAAGGTCGGACACAGAACCGAAGCTAAAGATGGTAATTGCTGACTGACCTATAGTATGCATATATGTGCATATCGTTGTCATCCACATGTTGATGACTATAATTTTTATTGAAAGGTATCAATAGGACAGCTCTTCGAGAGATTAAACTGCTGCAGGAGCTGCATCATCCAAATATCATTGGGGTAGGTAAACATTAGTATGCCACCTTATATTTGTATCCTCATGTTCATAATACTGGGACTACTTGTGAGGGGGGGAAAGAATTTGTTTTCTATATTGTAAGTATTCCTTGAAGTTGAACTGAACATAAATAATATGATGTTTGTTGTAGCTGCTGGATGCCTTCGGACACAAATCCAACATCAGCCTTGTGTTTGACTTCATGGAAACGGATCTAGAGGTGAGACGGCTCAAATTCTTGGAAAAAAGTCTGTCAGTATTAGGATTACATAGCAGGAACACCCACACAATCTTTATTATGCAGTCTCTTACATCAGCCTATTAAGAATCTGAGCCGTGTTCTCTTTTCAGTTCAGCTATATTATGAGGGGTTTGGGGTGTAGCCACAGTGCCCTGGCTGTGCCTGGGCAGGGTTGGTCCTAGTTGGTTCTTGGATTGGGGGGGACACCAGGAAATACCAGGTGCTGTGTCTGCACTCTTTATGCCAGACCCAAGCCTGGATAAAATAGGAGGCTGCTTCAGGAAGGGGCGTTGCATATGCCTTTCATGGTCATCCACTGTAGTGGCCCCCCAAAAATTGTGAGCAGATGAAAGGAGAACAGCAACAAAAGGGTTCTTGGACTTGCACATTTCTTTATTAATTTCTCTGGACAGTGTTGTGGAAAAAAGTGTATCCTAATAGTCCAGTTCACTGGTGAGGAGTGTGAATAAAAGTCAAGGACACATCTGTCTTTGTGAGATTTATTTCTTTTTTATATATATGGGTCTCACACACAAGTTTCGGGGAGGATTAGATAAAAGGCACCCGTTCTGATTTCACACATACACCCACACTGAAAGAAGTCTTTGTCTTGAGATGGTACGCAGAATCAGGGAGTGCATACCTTTTCAAGGACAGTTTGTGCTATCTTTTGCTGAGCAGACAGTTCAGATATTCTGTGTGGACTGAGTTCATCACAGTTTAAGGCATATATGAGCAAAACAAAAATTTCCATTACAACAGGAACTAATATGTAGTTATTGTGTTTACCGAAACTGTTGTAAGTAATTAACAGGCATTTTCAGGAAACCTTCAGCAAATTATAGACTTAGACAGTACATTTCTACAGGTTTGCCTATTTTATTCATAGCAGTTATTTGCAATATAGTTTTGTTCATTTTTACAATATTATGTAAAAATCAGTAGTCCTGTTCCATAAACTGCAGAACTTGACTGGAGTCCACCTGTGGCAAATTAAACCGACTGAACATAGTTTAGAAAGGCACATGCCTGTGTTTATAAGGTCCCATGGTTCACACTGCAGGCCATGATATCTATGGAACTCCCTGCAGACTGCCATGATAAAAGGCATAGATCAGAACAAGACTATAAAACCCTTTCTCAGTAGCACAGTGGCCTCAGTAATTGTGCAGTGGAACCACTAGGACTCTTGTTAGAGTTGGTCATCCAGCTAAACTGAGTAACTGGGCAAGAAGAGTCTGGAGAGCCCAGGGAGGAGAGCAAGAGCTCAGTCTGTGTCTGATATATATGACAGCCCAATTTAAAGGACTCTTTGAACATGAGGAAAGGGCTCTCTGGTCTAATGAGACAAAAACTGAACTCTTTGGGCAGAACTCAAGCACTGTGAGTGGACAAGACCAGGCACTGCTAATCACCTGGCTAATGGCATCCCTATGGTTAAGCATGATGGTGACAGCATCACACTATGGGGGTGCTTCTCAGCAGCAGGGACTGCTCAGAATGGAAGGAAGGATGTATGCAGCCAAATACAGACAGTTCATTGAAAACCTGTTTTCAAGTGCACATGAGACTGAGGGTGATAATAACCTGAAACGTAACAGTCGAGACAACACTGGAGTGGCTTTGGGACTGTCCTCGAGTGGATGAACTAAAGCCCAGACTTAAACCTTATATGAAATGTGTGGACAGATCTGAATATGGCAGTTTAGACACTTCCTATCCACTCTGAGGAAGCTTGAGAGGATCTGCCAGGAAGAATGGGATAAACTGCCCAAATCCAGGTGTGCTGCCAAAGGAGCTTCTACAAAGCACTGAAGTGAGATTATGAGTGCTTTTAATAATGGAGAATGATGCTATGGCCCTGTAACTCGTATTAGGACCTTTTCCTTATTGCTTGCATCCTGTAAAGGGACAACTTGGGAACGAAAATTATGCCTGTAAACCTAAAAGCACTCATTCAATGTAATTAAAGACGCTGTAAAAGATGTTGCCACCAGATGGAAGTTTCAGCCTTTATCACTTCCCCTTTAACAGAGAGCAGGTGCTGGGTTTCATCTGTGTGTGTGTTTTAAAGATATTTTAGGTGTTTGTGGCAAGTGTGATATTAAAGAATTTGCTGTTATGGTTGGCTTCTAATAACATGAATGGCAGAGCAGGTCAAAGAATTGGTGAAAGGTGGGGAAAAAGGAGATTGAAAGGTGTAAGGTCAGATGAGAATATATGAGCAAAGAAAACATGAGCAGCATGATGATGATGATGGCAGGGTGAGTGCTCTCATCACACCATTAAGTGGTTACAAGGTCACTAAGGCTTTTATGTTTTCTCCCACCTCTAGTTTGGCGCCAGCCCCCAATACATCAGACCTTAATAGAATGATGCAGCACAAGATAGCCATGCTTTAAAGAAATCAATATCCTTCCGCTCTTGGCTCTTGCAATGAAGCGATGCCATTAGCCGCTCACAGGCAGATGGGACACGAGGACGAAATGTGATGCTCATCCTAAAACTGTTGCTGAAGCCTGTTTTTAAGCCAGTGTTTAGATGTAGCTGTATGACATTGTCAGTTATAGTTGTTGGATGCTTTATTGCCAGTAACAACATGTATCAGGATACTAGAACCAGTGTTGTTAGAACTGGTGACACAGTTGTGGTTCTGGATGAGAGGCTGAATCTGAACTGTATTTCAGCTGTTCCAGCTGTGTCCCCTTGTTCACAGAAATAGATTTCAGGGGTCTTTAATATTTTGTTTTGTTTTTTTAAGGTAATTATTAAAGACACCAGCCTAGTCCTGACTCCAGCCAACATCAAAGCCTACATCCTCATGACTCTACAGGGATTAGAGTATATGCACCAACACTGGATCCTACACAGGGTAAGAGCGCCTATACCACACACACACACACACACACACACACACACTGAGAGTCAGTAATTATATTTAGCTAATTCCTGTGTCCAGGATCTGAAGCCCAATAATCTGCTGTTGGATGGTAACGGAGTGTTGAAGTTGGCTGATTTTGGTTTGGCCAAGTCATTTGGCAGCCCCAACAGAGCCTACACACATCAAGTTGTTACCAGGTCTGTGCTGCATAACTAACACACAACTTCTGTACTTCATCCTGGTATTTTTGCTACTCCCTGGAAGTCACTTAAAGGAGCTTATTTGAGACCAGTGGATAGTGGCAATTCAGAAAGGTTTTGGAGGTTGCAATCCAGTTTAACACAATCTTACTAGGAAAGAGGTCCTTCATGGTTTCACTGGTGGTTTAAGAGTCGTAAAATTTAATTCTCCTTTTATTGATATCTTTTCTAGGTGGTACCGCTCCCCTGAGCTCCTGTTTGGAGCCAGAATGTACGGTGTGGGTGTTGACATGTGGGCGGTGGGATGCATCCTGGCAGAGTTACTCCTTCGGGTACACAATCCTCATCTCAAAGAGCTTCATACAGAAGCCAGTTGCTGCTACTTTTTATATCCATGATGATGTCTGTATGATCCTTTTCTGTAGATGCCATTTCTCGCTGGAGACTCAGACCTTGACCAGCTGACTAAGATTTTTGAGGCTCTTGGGACTCCCACAGAAGAGACATGGCCTGTTGGTATCTGTTTCTCCTTCTGTCTGTGATTGTTTTTTACTTTGGTCACATCTGAGGATCCTTGTGTACTTTGTTTGTCTAATGTCTCTGCAGGGATTGACTAGCCTACCAGACTATGTGTCATTCAAAATCTTTCCTGGAACACCTCTGGAACATATATTTAGTGCAGCTGGTGATGACTTGTTAGAGCTGTTACAAGGCCTCTTCACCTTCAACCCCTTGACAAGGACCACAGCTACACAGGTAAAGTACAGCAGCTATTCTCACTTGGAGTAATTGTTCTAAGGGAAATACTGCTCAGAAAAGATCACACATGAAGCGCCTTCACAACATAGTGTAGGTATAGACATTGCTGTGTAAGGCATGATTACCATTTACATTCGATGACATAGTGTAATTACACCATCTGTTGTTTTTCCAGGCCCTGAAGATGGGGTACTTCAGTAATCGGCCTGGTCCCACCCCTGGCCCACAACTCCCCCGACCGAACTGTTCAGCTGAGGCTCTGAGAGAGAAGGAAAATGTTGGGCTCAAGAGGAAAATTGAAGGCCTAGAGACAAGTAATGAATGCTTACTGTAGTTGCTATATGTACCCCCAATCCTCCAAGTGTATTTGGTATACTATGTATGCCCAAAGTACATGAAGTGCCTCCCTGGCATTGATTTACTCAAATAAAGCCAGTCAGTGGTATTGTGACAAATGGTTTTTAACTGTGGCATGAGCAGCAAGTAAAAGTTTTCCGGCTCATTCTGAAAGGAGTTTGAACATCCCAATCAGACCTAAGTTACATAATGCATACTGTGAATTTTTTTGTTCTCATGATTATGCACACTAAAGCAGTTTTCACGCCTAAACTCTGGACTGTGTCCACAGAATCAGGTCCAGACTTTTTCCAGAGTTTCCCTTTCACACATGCACCACACAACAGGAGGTAGTCTGTGTCAGATGCATTCTCACCTACTGGAAATACTCTGGTTTATGCGGGTAGTGCATGTCTGAAAGGGGTTTTATGATACCGGTTGACTGAACCCACCAATTTAGAGGGTGTTGGCTGCACATTTAACTGCAGCTTAGAAACTCAGAATAGTGAAGTGAAACAAACACACATTTAAACTGTAGTGGATTATGGGAGGGTGTGTTTACTGAAGTAGGACCATAGGATTGACTGGGAGGTTCAAAACCTTTTCAGCTGCTCCTGGTCTGGAAACTTTAGTGGTTAGCAGATCACTCATTATAGCACTTGTACATATAGTGTAGTTTGTTATGTGAATGTATTGTTATGGGCATAGGCTTATGTGTAAAGTGAATGTAATCTATTTTTAGTGCTCTTTTTATAATACAGCCCTCTTTGTATTATTTTCAGCTGTGATGAAGAAGAAGCTGATTTTCTGACCAGATGGGCCCTGGGAAATCAGATCACCATCTTCACACTACTGTGTCTTTCAGCTTCCTCCATTGCTCAGTATTGTCCACTGGAAACAGGAGTCCGAAAGCAGCAAAGGGGAAAAAATGCTCAGATGTGGATGACTTTAGGACAGTTTAGAGGTCGTAGTTGTTGCGAGTTGGGAATTGTAGCTAAGATTAGCTCCGAGTGTCCAGCAGTCCAGCAACATCAGTTCAACAGAGACTCTGTGGTTAATGGTGTTGGCTCAGCCTAACATCGGGGAGTAGTATGTCTATTTATGTGAGTGAAACAGAGAACAACCAAATAAGCAAGTCTGATTTATTTTGTGTATATGCATTTTTTTTTTTGTATGCAAGACCAATAAATGGTACAAATGTTAAATGGGCTTTCCTTATAATTGAGACAATGTGAGATTTAAGCTAACTGCTTTTAAGAAGTCACCATGAAACTGTTATATTGTAACATATGATAAGCATGACTGTGAAGAATGGAATGTTCCCAGCAGTACACAAACATACATATTGCAAACACACAATACAGACTGATTTCCTGTGAGGTGCGTTCACAGTCTTCACTTGCTGAATGTGTGTGTGGACAGAAATATGCTAGTGGTTTATTTGCTGAGCATGTGCAAGTCAAGGAGAGAGTCTGAGACAAGCCCTGTCTTCAGGCTGCTAGGCTTGACAGTCTTTCCCTCTGTGTCTGTGATCCAGCACAGCATGGCATACAGAGGTCGTGATGGTTTGGCAGACATTCTTGCCCTTTCTAATGATCTGAGAAGAGGAAGAGATGAGAGAGTGTCACTGCTGGAGGATTCAGTCTTCATACGTATTTGATCAGATTCTTTTCTTGTTCTATTGTATAACAAAAGCCAGTGCAGACTGGTTAGTGTGACGGCTTTTTGGATCTGAACAGAGAGGTTTATGGACTTGAGGTCTAACACCCTATGTTTGTAAGGAGGCCACCCAGTGTGATTCAGGCCTATTTACAAATGCTCACAATACAGCAGTGAGAGGGAACACAATGACTTTGTGAGGCTGCAGTGGATGAGTACAGTGTGTAGATGTATCGTGTGAGTGGTTCAGATGACAGGTTTGGCAAATGGCAGCACAGTCAGAGAGAGTCACAGTAGCAGCCTTGTCAGCTCAAGCTCCTCAAGGCCGCTGTTGCACTGGCACACGGTTGCCCACATACTGTTACAAAACAAGAGCATGTGGTTTGTGGGAGAAAGTAATACTGACTCATACTGTATGTCTGAATCAGCGAGATGTACCAGTGTGAAGACAAGATATGACATTAGCATGAATATGGTGAAGTATAATTTAGCCAAAAATCTGAGATCTTTGTGTGCACAATGTTCAGGAATATTATCTATAGAAACAGGTAGGCTTACTGGTCTCTCTTGCATGGAAATACTTTATGTGACTTAGAGATTAGCAAAGTCCTTTTAGAATTTATTGCTCGTTATATGATGATTAAAGGGATACATGTCTTAGTAAGAAAGTCACCTTTGGCTTTTACTGTTTGGGGGTGGCCACAGGGAATTGTCACATTGACATTGTTTTAATTATTACTTATTCAATTCTGAAAAATAGAGGTTTTCTGTCAGTGATGGAGCACGTGATGTGGATGTGTTTATGAGTTTGAATGCACTTAATTGCTATAAACTCGAAAGACTCAATTGAATTGTGCAGGATATGGTTCTTCTTACCATTACTAACTCTGAGAGATGAGACGGTTCAAGTAACTTCAAAACAGTGCTGATTTATTCAAAGGATCACAGGTAAAATTCCACATAAAGGAAACCACAACTGGGCCACATGTGACATGCCATCATGTAAGCAATGCCATCATTGCCAGACCATGGCCCACATCTGGTTGACATACCACTTGCCATGCCAGCAGTCGGCCAGCAGTGCCGGCTTTACCCCAGATCTGGCCCACACTTGTCTGCTATGTGGGATTTGGGTCACTTGGTATCACCATTCTTGCCATTATTTCGACTATAATTTTGAAAATAATTATATATCAATTACATTTTATAGGTCATTATATGACCATATATTGTATTTCATAATTACAGCTGTTGGAATGATTTAATGCTGCTTAAAAAATCTTAAGTTTAAAAAACTTTAATGACAGACAAATGAATGTACTGTAAATCACATGGGTGATTAAGAGAAATGTACCATTGTGCCCATTATATGCTTTCTTTCCATTTTCCGCTGTATCATAAGAGGGAAATGGAAATGAGACCACAATAAAATAGGCCTAACCAAACAAGGCCAAAATGGGAAAATATAAAGGCCTTAATTCACGTGGCATCTGTTTCTGTGAGAGGCAATGTGAAACAGAAGGACACCGTCAGCTACCTGAGTGTCGTCTAGTGCCATCTAGTTTCCACTCGACACTCCATGTCTTTGGGTTTTGTCGGTGATGTGCAGTGGGAGGAGAGTCAGGGAGGAAGTAAGGGAGGGGAAGGATAGGCAGAGAGGGAGGAAGTAAAGCAGGGGACGGATAGGCAGACAGGGAGGAAAGATAGACAAGACAGACGGACAGACGGACAGAGCGTTGTTCCTCTTGTGTTGGTGAGAAGCGACGGAGAGACGCAGCCAGCTGTGAAACGGATTTTATTTATTGACCCCCCCCACAAGATGTGTACACCGTGTTGTATATCACAGGTGAGGAGCAGTTATCAGACTTACTGGTTTTTGGTGCTGTTTTTTTTTTTTGTGGTGTTGTTTTGTTCAACGTTTATAAACGTTACAGTGGAACGTTACAGCGTCGCGCTACGTCGAACGTCGTCTGTTGTTGCAGTTTAGTTTATTGTTTGTATCAGTGTCTGTAGCCGCTCAGTGTCTGTTAATGCGAGTCGACAGAGATGTGTTTATGTGTTGCTGGTTTCCGACCCCGTTGTCAGCGGCCGTAGCCTAATTTATTAACAGTAACAAAATGTGGTGATTCCCTCAGTGAACTAGGTGAATAACTTGACTGTAGTAACGTTAATAAAGCCGTTGGCAGACAAAGGGAGACGAGGCAAAACTAAAACAGCCACAGCCAAAGGTTCAGTACCTTCAGAATGTCTTCAGAGGTGTGTTGTGTGGAAACCGTGAAGCATTCGGGATGGGCATTTCTCACACTTGTCTTACATGTATAAACGGAGTGTGATGTACTCGTCTTTCCTTTGGTTTCACTGTTGACTTTAGGCAATGCACACTTTTGCACCACTAACAAACATCTTGCTTCCCATCTCACAAACTTAGGGCCAGTCGGATTCCTAGCTTGTATTTATACCACATGCCCTTAAGGAAGGATGTCAGTTCAGTCTTTGTGTTTCTAATGTGTTTATGGTCAACCTGTTATAGGCTATTTTAAAAGTGCAGATTTACTTGAAAAAGGCAGACACAGCCCAAAACTGAAAATTGTGTAAATTACATTATAACCTATGCCTCCTATAGAAACACTATGGTTGGACCTTCTTTTTTCTTTCTTTCTGCCTTTTAAAAGGGAAGTTAACTAAGGTCTTATATAGAAATGTACATTATATTCCTCCTGAAGAATGGGCTACATATTTAATGTTTAATTTTTTTTTCCTGAATTGCTTTTGTCAAAAAGTTATATTTTGAGTTTGCCAAATTATATACTACTCATATAAATATAATTGTCAGCGGAAACAATTACAGTACTTAACCGTGTGTTGATAACCAACAGTAATTGCAATAATTAATAGTTTTTAAGTAATTTTTAAGTAAAAATGATAAAAATGAATTAGCTCCAGCTTCTTGATATTTGTTGGTTTTGTTTGTCCTCCATGAGAGTAAATCGGATTTCTTTGGGTTTTTCATTGTTGGCTGGATAAAATGAGAGATTTGAAAATGTCTGTGAGCTTGAGAAATTTGTTACACATAAATAGTGTTAGGTATTTTTAGTCAGATAGAAATTGGATAGATACTTTATGTATTAGAAATGTTTAGTGGAGATAAGATGTCTAGTTAGACTGTTAAATGCTTAGTCATGCTTATGAGTTTCTACAGGGTACATCTGGTCAAGGATAACTAGAGAGAAGAGTTGATGACTGTCAGCAGACAGGGTGTTTAATATTATTATTATGATGTGTATAACTGCAGCCTTAGCCATAATATGTTCTTATGTTTAAGTCACGACATGTTACTAGAGGTCGTGAGAATGTTTTTAGCTACACACCACTTAATCAACAGACACACACACATTGATTTGCTTCATGTTTTGACTACTGCTATGACCAGCTGCAAAGCTGGTAACAGAGACGTCTCGGTTGACGTTTCTGTGTAGTATGGGGCTAGCCCAACCGAGGGGATATAATGTATAGGCCTGGTGGGTTCAGGGTCTTTCATCTTACATCTGCCTGCGTGCAGTTTGGAGGTGGAAGATACCTGAGCGTGTAATGTTAATTTTACCTGTGATCCTTTGAATAAATCAGCACTGTTTTGAAGTTACTTGGACTGCCTCGTCTCTCAGAGTTAGCAATGGTAACAAGAACCACAGTCCTTCAATAGATTAAACGATTCCTCAGAAAATGATTGGCAAATTAATCAATAATTTAAAAAAAATAGTGCCAAGATTGTTAGTGAATTTGAATTATGAAGTTGCAACATTTACTTTGAAAAGAGGCAGTCTGTGTTTTTTATGTAAGTTAGTGAAGTTTTTCTTCAGTGCTTTCAACTAACAGATTGTTTTAGACCAAATGGTCATCATCGAATTCAATGACATACACAGATGTCACATAAAGGCAGCTCTCTTCTATTCCCTGTCCTTTTCAAAGACAGGGAATGATCGAAACGGGAGAATTAAGAGAAATTAAAGACAAACACTTAGATCAGCTTTGTGCTGCCGTGCTTTAAGTTCTCTAATCCTTGTCACAGACAGCCCATTTAGTTTTGTCGCCATCTCTGTTTATGTATATAGTTGCTTTTTTTTGTTTTGTTTTGTTTGGTTTGTTTTCAGGCGTGTGTATGTGCCACTCTTGAAGTTTAGACTAGCCTAAATTGATGTGTGGTCTGTTAATTTCCTACTTGGCTTTGAGGTGGAATTTAGGGGTGGATGGGCTTTGTTTGGGTAGACTCTGAGAGAGGAACCGACTCTGTGGGAGCTGCTCACTTGTAATTCTCTGTGGGATCAGGTTTGTATCCCATGTTTTAATGGAATGACACATGCAGCTTTGGCAGGGTAAATGATCGGGAGGATAAGAGGCTGTTGTTTAGCAAGCATACTTCCTGATAAAATATCCTATGAGTAAGACATCAGGCACTGACCCTGCACACTGACCTCTGTGGATGTGCAAGCAGAAGGAATTGTAATGATGCAGTACTCTTCTCCAGCCAACAGTTTTGGCTATCTCATCC